AGGAGATTATGCTGAATTTATAGAAGACACTTGTTAGATCTCAGCTGGAGTGTTGTGTGCATTGTGGTTACATTGCTGAAGCCAGGTAGAACTTTAGTGGACTTCTCCACCTTTTACTCAAGTTTTTGCATAGCCTCAGGGATATCTGCCAGAGGTTTTCCTGCCTGACTCTGCATTTGTTGTTGTGGCCAATTTCAGATGCGTGTCTGAAATATGGGGCTCCGCAGGGTCTGGTCTCCAAAAATATTTCGATTATTTTGGAGGTCATTGCTTAAATCCTCTATTGGCTGCTGTGTTATGTTCGTGGTATGCTCCCTAGATTGTGACCGCGAGCCTAATCTAGAACTTATAGTCACTGGGGTGACTGTCTCTGCACTGGTGGGGCTTCAGGGGAATGACACAATGGTCCACCCACTGAATGGCAGGTCTCTTCATCCTTAGAGCAGAGGCAGTGGCGCAGATGGAGCTGGCCGAAAGCTGCATCTCTCTCTTTTTCATGCTGCAAGGACCTGTCATTGGCAACTTAAAGATTTAGTTCACAGCTATACACATCATCAGTGCTTCAAGCACTACACCTACATGACCAGTTGTCTCCAGACTGGAGACATTCTCATTCGCAAGTCTTGAAATTCCAGCCTCTCCATCTGCATGCAATCATTCCCGATCCTACCTAATCAAAGCCTCCTTTCATCAGGTCAATATTCTGATGTTTGCAACACTTCGACCCATCTTAAAGCACTCCTTGTGGTTATGAGCTCTTCTCTCATGCAGGCAGACAGAAGAATTGAGTGTCATCTGATCAAGTGCATATTCACTTTATGTGCATGGATGTCATGGCAGTTCCTAAGTCCTCCCTAGTAACAGTTTCACACACATAAAACTCTTCACAACTATCACAGAATGAAATGGCTCCTGCAAATTTAGTCCCCATGTTCCATCCATTGTTAAAGCCTACAATTCAAACCCCTGTATAGCAATCCTCTCCATTCACACATCTACATTGCTTGAAACTCATGAATATCACTTTTCAGTGACTACATGATACCATTTGCCATTGAGGAATGCAGGGGATCTTTCATCATTCATGCACTGGACCCAGTTTCTGTTCTGAACCCATGGCTGTTAACCTCTGCTGTGACCTCTGTCCAAACCACCTTATTAGACTGCCAGCCCTGGGAAAGAGAACCTCCCACAGTGCGTGCACAACCTTGAGCAGATCCCACAGGGAGACATTGATTGAACCATGGGGGCTGCTTGTTGTCTGGTCAGAGACATGATTGATGATGGTAGCAGCTGTAGGTTTTCCATGAGGTTGAAAAACTGTCAAAAGTCTCCAGGATAACAAGGAGACTGATATCCTTGACTCACAGGAACTGAGTAAATCTTCTTTAAATATACCACCTAGACCTTCACCAAGTGAGGTAATGGTAGCGTTGACTTTCTGCCAGTCCCAATGCTAGTTTTGCTTCAAAAAATTAGCTTTTAATGATGCCTATAGATGCAAAATGGCAGTTGCTTTGTGATATTTTTGCTAAATTAACTTCAAAAGACAACTTTGAACTTGGTGGAAGAGCCTGTTTCCATCAATTTTGTACCATTGTTGGCATATGTCTATATTTTTGCAAAAAATTGGCACGTGGAAAGATGTGACTAATAATGCCTCAATGTCAATGCAAATTCCTTCATTTTGCAAAGAAAAACATGTTCAGATAAAGCAGATCAGTTATCAACAGTAAAATGAAATAGATACCAGAAGTGTAATGCCAACAGGAAATCTTGATCACAATGTAGAAAGGCTGACATGATTAAATCTAATCTTAAATCAATTTATTTTGCACTAAGATCAGTAACAACAAAGCAGTGTTGGTCTTTCTGCATGTTTTATTCAGCCTATATTCTCCAGTTTACAAAGAGAACAAAACAGCAAAAAAAGTGTCATACAGAGGAAGTAAACCTATCTTTGATCAATACCACTCTTTGTGGCTCAGTGTCACACTTTTATTTTAAAGTGTTTCAATGAAATACTTTATGTTTTCTTATAGAGTCACCCATGCCGAACAGTTTCCCAAACTAGACTAGTCCCACTTACCTATGATAGGCCCATATCCCTCTAAACCTTTCGTATTCATATACCTATCCAAATGTCTTTTTAATATTGTAACTGTACCAAATAAACATTGGAACATACAATTAGGATCAGGGGTAGGCTATTCAGTGCCTTGAGCCTGTCATTCAATAAGATCTGATTACTCCACATTCCCAATTAACCTATATATCCATTCATCCACTTGCTTATCAACAATCTATCGCTGCCTCAAAAATATTCACAGAGACTGCTTTCACCCCCTTTTGAGGAAGAACATTCCAAAGCCTCACCATCCTCTGTGAGAAAACAAACTCCTTATCTCTGTCTTAAATAGACGACAACTCATTTTTAAACAGTGACCCCTTGTCCTAGACTCTCCCAGATCCTCTCCCCATCCGGTCTTTTGTGGTCAAATGACCACAGGCCCAAAATTGGACATTCTAAATTGATCCACAGATGGAGAAATCAGGCCTGACAGAAAATTGGCCAAACTAAATTAAACAGCAGCTGGCAGCTATCGGCTACACCGAACAGTAGAAACCAAGGTCAAAGAGGTTACAAAGGTTCAAGGGGAACCAGTTTCAACCAGCCCAAGCGTTGTGTATTGCAGAAATGCTTCAGACGTTCTAGAACCTCAACTGACTGACATTGTGCACTTTACACCTCCCGGCATGGCGACAGCGAGGAGTGTTGGCATGACTCCATTAGATGATTTGAACCCAGCTCATGACTACATTGGCCAAAGGCCACAGAACATTCTAGAAGGTTTCAGTGTGAGGGCAGATGAGAACACACCTGGACACCAGCCCTCTCAGTGGAGACTCAGTGAAGACTCAGCGAAGACATGACCTTGCTTAGCAGCAAAACTCTGACCACCTGAAGAAAGAGAGAGACAGAGAGAAAGAGAGACAGAGAAAGGAGAGAAAGGGGAGAAGATCTGCCCTGACCTGCAAGACTTACCTTCGTGCAAGAGAGCTAGTCCTATATCAGAGACAAAGGAGATTGTAATGGCCCAGTTCAAACATATGGATCATTGCGGGTAACATCCTTTCTTAGATGGATAGAGCTCAATAGAAAGTAAATATTGAGGGAATTTGGGAAATACTTACATTGTGTTTTTAACAAGGAATATTTTGTTAATAAAATCAAGATGAACCACAAACTGAATTCTGTGTACCTTTGTCTGGTTCACCATCAAGAGCACTTAGATAAGGGGGTTTTAATACATGAACTGAGCATCCAAAGCATGGACAACACTTTCAAGACCTCTCAGGATCTTATATGTTCCAATCCAACTCTCACTTTTCTAAACTCCAGTAGATACAAGCCTATCTCATCCATCCTTTCTTCAAAAGGCAACACACCCATTCTAAGCATTAGTTTA